AGGGGGAGGGGGAGGGGGAAAGGGACTCATCCAAAGCCACAGAGCAGGGATGACAGCCAGGGACTTTCCTCCATCTGGACCACCAGAAAGGGATGCTATGGTTCCTTACAGTGCCAGTCCCAGCGTCACCCCTCAGCTAACTGCACTGCCTCATATCTGTTACGTGGCCTCTGGGAACCTCAGTGTCTTCGTCTGGAAATTGGGCTATTAAGAGCATTGATCCCATGGGGTTTTATGAAGATGAAGAAAAATCATGAACATGAGTTTGTGACCACAGTGCCTGGCACCTGGACAGGGCTTTGTTAGTGTTATTTTTAGTTCTCAATGCCAAGGGGAATCAAAGGCTGGGCTAGGGTGAGGGCGGAGTCCATGATGTCTCTGGAGAGGGTCCAGCCTGTGCCCCAGCAGAGCAGGAAGCTGGTCTCTGCTCGAGTCTCGGCTTGTTGACCTACTCCGTGCTCTTCTGGGAAGCTGCTAGCAGGTACTTGTCTGGGGTGTGTTCTGGCGCTCCCCAGCTCCCAGGGCTCAAAAAGAAGGCTTAGTGTGGGTGACCATATGCATTTTCAGGAAGGGGACACATGCATACTGAAGGGATGAGTTTGGGTCATCATGTGGGGATATCATTCACACACATCTGTTCACAAGTATGATCCTGTGAGGATCTATATGTGAATCCAGCTCTCTATCGACTCCCAATGTCACTTCACAGATGTGTGAGGCAGGAGGAGGACTGACTGGCTGTATGCCCTTAGGCAAATGGCTTGCCTTCTCTGATCCTCAGTTTTCCCAGTTTATAAGGTCATTTAGAGAAGGAAGTCAGTGGAGCAAGTAGCTGTGGGCATCCAGCACTGGAACTTTCCAGTGACTGACCCGTACTGTTATTGGTGGGTCTGTGGATGAGGAAGACTTTGCGATACTGTGTCCTGCCATCCCTAGCTGTCTGCACACCACCCACCCCATGTGCAGCACAATGTTCATAGAGCTTTTTGTGTTTGCTTTTTTAATTTTCAATCTTGTTATTACATGCTGCTATTTATTACATACAAGATATGAACATAAGAGTTCATATGTGGAGATCAGAGGACAACTTGCTCCCTCCACCATGTGCACACTGGGTATTGAACTCAAGTCATCAGACTTGGCAGCAAGCACCCTAC